CTGGCTCCTCTGCTTTGGATCCAGCTTCCTACTAATGTGTACCGTGGGAGGCAGCAGGTGAAGACTCAAGTACTTGGATCCCTGCTACCCAGGTGAAGACCTAGAGAGTTCCAGACTGCTGACTTTAGCCTGGGCCAACCCCAGCTGTTGCAGGCATTTAGAGAATGAACTGGAGGAAGGATTTGTGTGTTTTTCTACTTTCAAACAAAATGAAAATAAAAAGTTTCAAAAATTATCAAGCCTCAGTGGGACATTGGGGGACTCTGCTAACTTGCGAGTCTCAGCCATTGGGGAACCCCCGATTCTTGAATCATGACAACGCGGCAGTGTTCACAGTGGCTTAAGAGACACCAACGGAAAAAGGAAGACCTTTCTGTCTCTGTCCACTCTGTCAAAAAAACACACACACACACACACACACACACAATAAAAAGAGACTCCATGCTCTAGTCAGTCTGCTTCCCATTGTGGAAATAACGGGCCCACACTGGGCTGCACAGCATTCCTGGGTGACACTGTCTTGTGTCTTCCTCTTCCTGTCACCTGTGCCAGTCTCATGGGAGTAACAAGTGCTCTTCACCCAGGGTTCTGCCATCGGAAATTTCTGGTACCTCAGTGTGTCAGAGGTGGCCACCACTCTATTACGAGCAGGGCTCACATAAGTAAATCTCGAGCCAAGTTTCTTCTTGGTTTCATAATACTCTGACCTACTTTAAAAGATAGTAAATTAATGGGAGTTATTTTTGTATGACTTTGAGAATGTTTAGCTATGCTTTATGGGATGAAATGAATCACTGTTTCCATACAGGCACATGCTGACTTCTTGGCGCAATCCCTGAGCGAGCCACACACTTTTCAGTCCTCAGACCAAAAGGAAGCCTTCTGTAGCCCTAAAACAACACAAAGGAGATGGTGTTCCTGCGCCCCTGGGGTTCCTGGCTGGACCCAGCCCATTCGCAGATCCTGGGCTGTGTCTTCCGTCATGTGATCCCATGGTACAGCAGCAGAGATGGGACTCCCAAACCTAGTAGCAACCCGGGGGCAGGGGCCTGGCACTGTGGTTGACATTGGTTGGCATGCCCTTGTCCCACACTGGAGTATCTGGGTTTTATTTCTATCTCTGGCTCCTGACTCCAGCCTTCTGCTAAAATGAATCCTGAAAGGCAGCAATGATGGCTCAAGTAATTGAGTTCCTGCCACCCTTGTGGGAGATGTGGATTGAGTTCCTGGCTCCAGCTCTAGCTTTGGCTGTTGTGGGCATTTTGGGAGTGAACCAGTAGATGTAAGATCTCTCTCTCTGCTTCTCAAAAAAACAAAACAAAATACCAAGACTTAGTAGTAATTCTATCAAGCCAGTGATTAGACACATTATTTCAGTCTTCCACTTGGCAAATATTTTGTGATTTTTAAAGATTTATTTATTTATTTGAAAGTCGGAGTTACAGAGAGAGAGCGAGAGAGAGAGAGAGAAGAGAGAGAGGTCTTTCATCTGATGGTTCACTCCCCAGTTGGCCACAACGGCCAGAACTGTGCCGATCCGAAGCCAGAAGCCAGGAGCCAGGAGCTTCCCCTGGGTCTCCCATGCGGGTGCAGGGGCCCGAAGACTTGGGCCATCTACTGCTTTCCCAGGCCATAGCAGAGAGCTGGATTGGAAGTGGAGCAGCCAAGTCTTGAACCGGTGCCCAAATGGGATGCCAGCGCTTCAGGCCAGGGCATTAACCTGCTGCGCCACAGTGCTGGCTCTCTTAGGTTGGTTTTTTATTTTTTTTTATTTTTTATTTTGTATTTTTTGACAGGCAGAGTGGACAGTGAGAGAGAGAGACAGAGAGAAAGGTCTTCCTTTGCCGTTGGTTCACCCTCCAATGGCCGCCGCTGCAGCCGGCGCACCGCGCTGATCCGATGGCAGGAGCCAGGATCCAGGTGCTTTTCCTGGTCTCCCATGGGGTGCAGGGCCCAAGCACCTGGGCCATCCTCCACTGCACTCCCTGGCCATAGCAGAGAGCTGGCCTGGAAGAGGGGCAACCGGGACAGAATCCGGCGCCCTGACCGGGACTAGAACCCGGTGTGCCGGCGCCGCAAGGTGGAGGATTAGCTTATTGAGCCACGGCGCCGGCCTCTTAGGTTGGTTTTCAATGCAGGCTAAATTGATATTAAAGCATTGAAAATGTAATGTATTCTCTCCAACTGTCTAGAATCAATTGGAAATGACTATATACACAGAGATATTTCATAATTAGATATGCTAATTCAAGAGATTTATCATTTTAAATAACTCAGGCTCATGTTTAAAAGCTCTTTGACTTCTCCTTACAAGAGGATAAAAAGGATGAAATAAGTAAATATTTACTCATCATACTGAAAACGGCTTTAGTCTCAGCAAATATTGAAGGCTATGATTTGGTAGGAGGAACCCAATGTGCTCTCTGCAGATCAAAGCAGTGCTAAAGTGACCAGTGCACTGGGGTGAAACACTTCAGGAATAACTGGTAATTTTCATGCCACAAAGAATGAGAATATATTATGACATCTCTTTTGTCATAGGACTTGGTGGTCACACAGTAAGCTGCTAAGTGAGTATTGCAAACCGTGTAATTGTTTCAATGTAGCATGGATTTTATTTCTAGCTTTAGAGGTTCCCACATAAAAAAGGAGTTTAAATTAGGTAAGACTTAAATGCTTTTGGTATGTGTGATACATATACAATAAGTAATATTAAAGTTTATTTTAAAAAATACATGGTCAGATTAGAAAGCATGTTTTACAGTAGTAAAGCAGCAACAGTTTTTATTAGAAATTCTAAAAAATAATCCAACCTTAGAAGTACAAACAATGATTATCATTAAAAACATTTAAATTCAAAATTACTTAATAAACAAAAATCTTTATATTTGCACAAGCCCAATATATTTGTTGGTTTTTAGGGACCTAGAACTTCTGTAGGGTTTAGGCTCTATCAACAATTTCTATTATGCTCAAGAACAAAGTGATTGTGGACATGAGGGATGAAGAGCCCATTAACCAGGTGTAGGCCAGAGAAACCCACCACACTGGCAAAACAAGGCTCTTTACCACCTGTGGCTTGGCCATGCACTTGCACCACACCAGTGCACACACAGGACTGCAGCAGGCCTGCCCCTGCCATGCCAGTTCCAGGAGGCAGCTACCCATCCCTTCCATGAGTCACTGAGTTCCTTGGTCCTTACTTCAGACCTGAAATTAAGAACCCCAAACTACCTTACACTCATTTGAAGTCTTCCACTCAGCACCCTACCCCATCATCCTAAGATTCCACCCAACAGGGACAGCTACAGATGCTTTCCCATCACAGGCTGCCTGACCCTGGAACCAGCCTGGGGTCCTGGTTAGGGTCTTCACAGGGCTGACAGGAATCAGGAAAGGCTCTTGAAGGCCCAGAGGTTTGGCAGCAGCTTCAGCCATGGTGAATAAAAGCTAAGCACAGTGCTCCCAGCAAATAGCACTACCAACTGGGTTGAGCCTTAACAAAATGTACCTGAAATCAATGAGACTGAACTGTATACATACTAATGATAACGAACATTACAAAAACCAACCATCACAATAACAGATCAGGCCTCTCGAAATCCAGAAACCATGAAGATATCTAAGGCCTTTAAATATAATTATGCAATGAACAACAAAAACACTCAAACAACCAAGTCAAGCCTCATTTTCACATGTACTTGAGTAAAAAATGACTTTGCTAGTATTAAATGAACAATAAACATCAGTACTTTCCCCCTTACTGTTGAAGGACGTATTAGAGAATTTTATAAGGTGGAGAAAGAATAGAGAAGGCACTGTGCTGGCACTAGCAAAAAAAGAACAATTTCACCTGCCATCTCCCAACATCACACAAATCTTGTGTTCTGAAATCCACGATGTGCACTCTAAACCCAATGTTTGAAGTCCTGCAGAAGTTGTGTTGCAAGTGTTAACTGACAGTCGACTGAAGCACAGGAGAAACCATAAGCAACATCACAGGAAGGAACAATCGGAACATTGGCACAACTTCCCATATTTCATGATCTTGGATTATGCCTTGATTAGGAGAGAAGGCTCATCAGCTTTCTTTGTCACCATCGGTATTGAGGGTGATCATTATTTCCTTATTCTCCCTGTTAATAAGCATTCAAATACATTTAGAAAATAATTTGGTAAAAACAAATTCTAATTCAGAGTGTTTTATTAAAGAATAATTTAACAATAACCTGTCAACTCTCAAGGCTTAGAAAAATATTTTGACAACTGTTAAAGAAGTTTTAAAAAAAAAGGACTCATATCGCAACTGCTGTATTTATCTTAGTTTTCTTGATGTTCACCTCTGGGGAAAATGTGATTGAACAAAGAAACAAACAAAAAACCTGTGTTTTAATGTAGATCAAAGGTTCTAACATAAATTTTTGCCAGGAATAGTTTTGATTCTTGAGTTTGCACAGCACCCCCTCCGCTTTAAGATTATTCATTTGAAAAGCAGAGCTACAGAGAAAGGGAGACACAGACAGACACACACACACAGACAGGGAGAGAGAGAGAGAAATAATCTTCTACCCGCAGGTTCACTCCCCAGATGGCTGCAATGGCAGGGGTTGGGCCAGGCTGAAGCCAGGAGCTTCATCCAGGTCTCCCTCGTGGGTGCCTGTGCAAGGGACTTCGACCATCCTCTGCTGCCTTCCCAGACACATTAGCAGGGAGCTGGATGGGAAGCAGAGCAGCCAGGACCTGAACTGGCGCCTATTTGGGAAGCTAGTGTCACAGGCAGTGGCTTAACCTGCTATGCCACAGCTCACAGTGCCATCCCCAGCCACCCTCTTTTAAAGGTAGGATTGGCATTGCCTTTTATGGTAATTTACAAACAGTTTTTTTTTTAAGAGTAAACTAAGGTGCTATTATTATGAGAATTTCTCACTGAAAATAGTGGCACATTTCTCAGTGTAAAAGAAAAAGGCAACTCAAACTGCTTTTACTCAATTACAACTAAATAAAAGCATATATGTATTTTTTAATTTATGGAGAAGACTTTATATAAAAGTGTGATTTACTAATCAAACCCATACAAAATATTTTGGGAATCAAAGAAAATAAAACAAAATTTTGTTCAAAGGGTTACAGATCCAAATGGGAGTTCTGGCTTTTACCAACAAACATATAACTGGACAGGTGTGTCAAAAAAGGTACAATGGAAACAAGTGGGCAGGAATGGCCTTCTGCCCACTACCCTTGCTCCATTAAATATAAGGCACCTGTTACAACATATTAGAGTTTAGTGATTTCATAGTAGAAACATGATAAATATTTCTTAAAGAATCTATAGAAAATACACATATAAAATTGTATGTTTTAAAATAGTTTTAAACCTAAAAATCTTGTATCAGCATATCTACCAATATAAAACAATGATTTTCTTCCATATCAGTTGGGTTTTTTTCGTATCTACATAATGATATATCCAAAGCCCATCATCAACCCAACTTCCTTACACAGACATTTGAAATACATGCACATATTACACACATAGCTATACACTTTCACACTGCACATGTAAATGTGATTACACACATAGATACACACATCCATTTGGGTCTTCATAGACAAGAGGAACACACTGACTGACACAGCATCTTTTCATAGCTATTTGTGCTTCCAAAGTGGAAACAAAGAAACAAGTGTTTTCAAGGTGGAAAACAATTTTTAACAAAATTATGCTAATTGAACACAGTGGGCATATCAGTTGTTAGCTGCCTATCATGTTCTAAAGAAATGTCTTGATTTTGTTACAGTAAAATATTTAAACATTCATATATGAAATCTTATGTTTCCTGGGTGAGGGAAACGTTTCCTAGGCTGATTAGAGACTCAAAGGGGCCCTCAGAGCACTGCTGGAGCAGCAGGGATTTATGGTCATGCCTACAGTCTTCACACAAATATTTCACTCCATGCTCATCCAACTCTTCTCTCTCCTGTAAATCAAGCAGCTTGAATGAGAATTCTGGGCTTCAGGTTTTACCTTGTGCACCCTGGAAACTGGAATGTAAGCATTAAGTTCTGTTCCAGGGATGCTGCAACGTGAGTAGCCAGAAACCCAGGCTTTCCACCTGTTGATTTGACATTTAGTCACATTTGGCTGCACAAAACAATTGCAACCTGCTTTTTAATGCATCAACAAAATAACCAATCTCTTAGAAGTACTAGTGGCAAATGTCTTCCTTGCCTTTGGGTTACACAGGTCACCCAGTCTGGTAGCATTCGCCACGGTATCCTATCCTGGGAATGTCACCACATCTAAGTGCCTTACCACTAGTCTCAACTAAAGAACAAAAACAAACTCACTAGAAGCAAAACACAATAAAGATAAACAATTTGCTATTAGAGAGAACTCCATAGTAAAATATAGCAACTATAGAATCTTACATATTAAACTTTATTTACTCATATACAAGAATTACTGGGTTTATATAGATTTCATTATATTTTTAGCTTGAAGTTTTAAATAATCATGTTTTTAAGAAAAAATATTTTATTATTCCCTAGTCATTGATGGGTTACTATATAATACTGGTGCTAACATTAATAAATTTAGAATGGCCATTTAAAAGCAAACGAAATACAAAGTGCTAAACAATTTTTGGGATGAGGGAGAAAAACATCCTTAAACGTTTCCAAAAGAAACACCCAAAGCAAATTAGAGCCAAACCCTTTTTAAAGTAGGCCAAAGGCCTTTTAACATCTGAACAGGCACTTTGATACCAGAATAGGGGATTTTCTCTTCTTACAATACCTCCATCTTGGCCTCTTTTGTGTCTCTTAAAGCTAGGACAAGAAAAATAAGATCAGAAACAAAGGAGTGAATTCTGTGACTAATGAGGTCAAAAAACGACACAAATTACTAAGTAATGGGAAAAGTATGAATCATTCCACCAACTGTGTGAATCAGGCAGACTGTACTGGCTTATTTTGAGTGACTTTTAAAAACAGGATGCTTGGTATCCGTGTACCCAAGCATCTCACTCTCTGATCTCCAAACACATCCACATCACTACCACTTAAATGAGTTCTGGACTTTGGAGGCCCCTTTACTTTCTGGCTTAAAGGTCTTGATAAATAACAGTTCTTCTCTCAAGCCCTGTGGGGCTGGCAGGAGTACATCACTCCCAGCAGGTAAAGGCCACGTATCTAAGGGCCACTGCTCTCAAAGAAGAGAGTTCAGAAGGATGCCAGCAAGTGACACAGACTGATGCTCCTATCCTGTGTGGTACAGCAGAAGCCAACACCCCTAATTATGGCTAAAGTTGTAGCAAACTGTCACACCTCATGGGAAACAACTGCATACCGAGCCCACTGCTGGCATTCACTTACAGAAAAGGCTCATTTCCATCCCCTCCTCCTACCCCTGAAGGGTAACAGACACCAGGAGGGGGAATTCATTTTTAGCATGCTCTAAGTGGACATTCATAAGGCCTAATAAGGAGAAGCAAGGATTCTTTCCCAACCACATGGGGTACATACAAAATCCTTTCTATTCAGTGATTTGCTTCTATTTCAGTATGTGCAGTATCTATCACCAAACAATGACAACACTGGGAAAATATAACATAATAGTAGTAAAACACCAAATAACTTTTGAAGTTCATGTTCCCAAACACATACACACACACTCCTACACATTCCCATTATTTTTGGAGCTATTCCATCACTGAGAAGAGGGCTCAGAGGGTTTCCCCAGAACACAATTTACCATCTGAAGAGATGCTATTCTATTCAGATGAGTAAGTATAAATTAGGGGAACTATGTTTGCAGCAAACCCATGACGGCACAATGTGATAACATCCTGTCATGGTTTACTCAATGTAGGGCACGCGTGTTAAGACTGGGCCATCTCTGCTCCAATGATCATTTAGCATTCACTCGTCTTTTCATGGAATAGGAAAGGTAAACTGAGTTTTCCTTGGTGATGGTCATTTGCTTGAATTGCAGATTTTTCTTCTGTGGCTGCATTCATGTTGTCTGAATAAGCATCCTCATCATCATCTTCATCCCTTGGATTTCCCTCCAGGCTGTGACGAATGCCATAAGCAAAATAAATCAGGAAACCTTTGGAGAGAGGCAAAAATCAGAGTTCTAGGTGTGTCAGGAAAGGACTGTTTGAATATAGAAAATTTAACATAGAACTTAACAGGATCTTCTCCCTTATCTTTCTGTGCTAAGTTAAAAGAATGGTATGCAAATACAAGCTACCATACAGAAGGTATTGCTGATAACTGTCTTTCTGGTAGAATGTGCACCTTCATTTTATACAAACTTTAAGAGTGTATTTTTCAGGGCCGACGCTGTGGCACAGCCGGTTAATCCTCTGCCTGCAATGCCAGCATCCCATATGGGTGCCAGTTCGAGACGTGACTGCTCCACTTCTGATCCAGGTCTCTGCTGTGGCCTGGGAAAGCAGTAGAAGACAGCCCAAGTCCTTGGGCCCCTGCATCCCTGGGGAGACCCAGAGGAAGCTCCTGGTTCCTTGCTTCGGATGGGCTCAGCTCTGGCCATTATGGCCATCTGGGGAGTGAATCAGTGATGGAATGAATACCTTTCTCTCTGTCTCTCCCTCTGTGAATCTACCTTTCAAAAGAAATAAATAAAATCTTTTTCAAAAAGGAGTATTTTTCTCTCAACAAATATTTATTAGTTGATACTTATGTGGAAAAAATTATAAACACAATATTCAACACCATACTTTAAACACATCAAGTGCCGTGTCATCAGAGACATGGTAAGATACTTTGGAAAACATGCCCTGTATTAACAAAGGGTTAATGGACATGGCTTGCACATGTCACTGTCACCAGAATTGTGCCCAAAGGAACTGTTTAGTAACAGTCATGCTAACCATTGTGTTTATGTGTGTATGGGGGAGGGGAGGTGTTAGGAAGCAGAGTTTTCAGTATCCTCAAAAGATCATTACTAATATGCAGGCATTTTCCGATGCGTCAGTTCTATTTCAGAAAACTAGTTGAGAGTTTTGGGTTGATGTGAAATGACTTTTTCTGAGTTTCATTTTTCTCATCCATAAACTGGAGAAAATAGACCTCAACATGGTTCTGCAGAAATATTTTAATTTTAAAAGATATCTGAAAACACTGGGAAAGCAAGCATTAAGACAGAAGAACTGGGAAAGGAAGAAAATGTAAAAAAGCCTTTATTTCCATGGAGGGAGAGAGTGTACATTTGACAAAGAACAGCACAGCACAAGAAACAGGATGCAGACAAGCCGAGTTCAGCCTGAACACGTAGAAAAGACCTACCAAGAGCCATCCAAATGCTAAATCGGACCCAAGTGTCTGCACTCAGCTGGACCATCAAGTATATGTTCACCAGGATGCTGAATGCTGGCAAAAACGGCAGGAAGGGGACCTAAAGGGGAAAAATATTTTTGAATGTACTCCTATTTTGAAAACACATGCCTGAAATTATCTCAACATGATGGCAACTGATTTGACATACATACTGTCACACGGCAGTATACATTTCTCACAAAAAGGACAACCTGGACCTGAGTAAAAGCTACTCTTCCAGAGACTACTACAAGGAGAATCATATTTTAGATTATTTACTGAAACTCAAAACAGCATTTATCAAAGCTGTTAACAGCTGCACCATCATCTCGTTTAGAATACACTGAGGCCTCCCAACTGAACTCTCATAGTATCCTGCGAGTTCACTGCCAGGCTGCCTCTTCAAGCCCGAGCCTGCTCTGAGGTCAAATGGGACAGGGACATGCCATGTACAGGGCAAGGGTTTTAGGTGGAAACCAATCCTCATGAAGTTTTAAAAATAAATTATTCTTATTGTCTGATATTACAGATTAGTTAGTAAGAAATCTGTTTACTGTTATGTGAATACATAATACTGTCACGGGGCATATTCAAGTTTTTGAAAAAAGCAGTTAACATAGGGACAATACTACAACTCCAAGGAACATGTGCAACAGCTGGGCCACACTTGTTCAATGGGTGAACTTTGTTAGAAGCTTTTTTTTTTTTTTTTCAAGAAATAACTACAAAATTAACATAATGGAGAAAGCACACACAGCACTGGGGACTGCCGAGCCTCATTACACATACCATAAAGGCTACTTTCTGCTGGTTCTGGGGCTGCTTCCAAATGGTGAGAATGACGGTGATACAGAGAACAAGAAACAGCACAAGAAGAGCAAGGCTCCAGGCTTCCAGCCCTGCGATGGCACGGACTCCGTAAGTGGTCAGAATACTCAGGCCCAAAACGAGAAAAGCTGCAAAGGAGATTTTGTATATACAGAAAACAAAGTCAGCAACGTGTGCCACCCAGATTATGTGCACTGACAATAATTACAATACCACTTGTGATTCCGGCATCCCATATCAGAGGGCCTATGTTTGAGTCCTTGTTCTGTTCCTGATTCCAGCTCCCTGTTAATGTGTGCCCTGGGAGGCAACAGGTAATGGCTCATGTATTTGGGTCCCTGATACCCATTGGGTGACCTGGACTGCGTTCTTAATTCCTGGCTTTTGCTTGGCTGAGCCATCACTTCTGCAAGAAATTGAGGAGTGAACCAGAGGATGCAAGATCTATCTGTACATCTCGGTTTTTCAAATCAGTTAAAAAAAATTTTTACAATCAAAAATTTGATATTCTATTTATATCCACAAAATATTGAAAAGGTGAATCAAACACTTTAGAGTAAAATTTCTTCTCTGAGTGAATAGCATATTCCTGCTATTTCCAAGGTTATTATTCTTAATGAGATCTTTTGTTAAGATCTTTTGTTAAGATCTTTTGTTAGGAAACTGGGTTTCTTTTAACTTTTATTTAATAAATATAAATTTCCAAAGTACAACTCTTGGACTATAGCGGCTTTTCCCCTCCAAAACCTCCCTCCCACCCCTAACCATCCCATCTCCCACTCCCTCCCCCATCCCATTCTTCATCAAGATTCATTTTCAATTATCTTTATATACAGAAGATCTACTTAGTATTCACTAAATAAAGATTTCAATAGTTTGCACCCACACAGGCACACAAAGTATAGAGTACTGTTTGAGTAGTAGTCTTACCGTCAATTCACATAGTACAACACATTAAATACAGAGATCCCACATGGGGAGTAAGTGCACAGTGACTCCTGTTGTTGATTCAACAATTGACACCATATTTATGACGTCAGTAATCACCCGAGGCTCTTGTCATGAGCTGCCAAGGCTATGGAAGCCTCTTGAGTTCACAAACTCCAATCTTATTTAGACAAGGTCATAATCAAAGTGGTGGTTTTCTCCTCTCTTCAGAGAAAGGTACCTCCTTTGATGGCTGTTCTTTCTGCTGGGATCTCACTCACAGAGATCTTTCATTTAGGTCTTCTTCTTTTTTTTTTTTTTTTTTTTGGCCAGTGTCTTGGTTTTCCATGACTGAAATACTCTAATGGACTTTTTAGCCAGATCCAAACGCCTTAAGGGCTGATTCTGAGGCCAGAGTGCTGTTTAGGATATCTGCCATTCTATGAGTTGGCTGTGTATCCCGCTTCCCGTGTTGGATTGTTCTCTCCTTTTTAATTCTATCAGTTAGTATCAGCAGACACTAGCCTTGTTTATGTGATCCCTTTGACACTTAATCCTATCATTATGATCAATTATGAACTGAAACTGATACCTTTGACTAGTAAGATGGCATTGGTACATGCCACTCTGGTGAGATTGAATTGGAATCCCCTGGCACGTTTCTAACTCTACCACTAGGGGTAAGTACGAGTGAGCATGTGCTGAACTGTACATCTCCTCCCTCTCTTATTCCCACTCTTATATTTAACAAGGATCATTTTCAGTTAAATTTAAACACCTAAGAATAACTGTGTATTAATTAAAGAGTTCAACCAATGGTATTAAGTAGAACAAAAAAAATACCAAAAGAAATAAAATAATAAGTTGTTCCTCAACAGTCAGGACAAGGGCGGATCAAGTAATTGTTTCTCATAGTGTCCATTTCACTTCAACAGGTTTCCTTTTAGGTGCTCAGTTAGTTGTCACCGATCAGGGAGAACTTATGATATTTGTCCCTTTGGGACTGGCTTATTTCATGCAGCATGATGTTTTCCAGCTTCCTCCATTTTGTTGCAAATGACCGAATTTCATTTTTTTTTACTGCTGTATAGTACTCTATAGAGTACATATTCCACAATTTCCTTATCCAGTCTTCTGTTGATGGGCATTTAGGTTGATTCCATGTCTCAGCTATTGTGAATTGAGCTGCAATAAACACTGAGGTGCAGATAGCTCTTTTATTTTCCAATTTAATTTCCTCTGGGTAAATTCCAAGGAGTTGGATGGCTGGGTTGTATGGTAGGGTTATATTCAGGCTTCTGAGGAATCTCCAAACTGACTTCCATAGTGGCTTAACCAGTTTGCATTCCCACCAACAGTGGATTAGTGTGCCTCCTTATTCCCCACATCCTCACCAGCATCTGTTGTTAGTTGATTTCTGTATGTGACATGAAACCTCATTGTGGCTTTGATTTGCATTTCCCTTATGGCTAGTGATCCTGAACATTTTTTCATGTGTCTGTTGGCCATTTGGATTTCCTCTTTTTAAAAATGTCTATTGAGGTCCTTGGCCCATCTCTTAAGTAGGTTGTTTGTTTTGATCTTGTGGAGTTTCTTGATGTCTTTGTAGATTCTGGTTATCAACCCTTTATCAGTTGCATAGTGTACAAATATGTTTTCCCATTCTGTCGGTTGCCTCTTCACTTTCCTCTTTCTTTTGCAGTACAGAAGCTTCTCAATTTGATGTAATCCCAATTGTTAATTTTGGCTTTGACTGCCTGTGCCTCTGGGGTCTTTTCCAAGAAGTCTTTGCCTGTGCCTGTATCTTGCAGGGTTTCTCCGAGGTTCTCTAATAACTTGATTGTGTTGGGTTGTAGATTTAGATCTTTATTCCACGCTGAGAAGATTTTTGTGTAAGGTGTAAGGTAGGGGTCTTGCTTCATGCTTCTTCATGTGGAAATTCAGTTTTCCCAGCACCATTTGTTGAACAGATTGTCCTTACTCCAGGAACTGGTTTTAGATCCTTGATCAAATATAAGTTGGCTATAGATGTTTGGATTGATTTCTGGTGTTTCTATTCTGTTCCTTTGGTCTATCCATCTGTTTCTGTACCAGTACCTTGCTGTTTTAATTGTAACTGCCCTGTAGTATGTCTTCAAATCTGGTATTGTGATGCCTCCGGCTTTGTTTTTGTTGTACAAGATTGCTTTAGCTATTGCAGGTCTCCTGTGCCTCCATATGAATTTCTGCATCGTTTCCAGATCTGAGAAGAATGTCTTTGGTATTTTGTTTGGTATCACACTGAATCTATAAATTGCTTTTGAGAGAATAGACATTTTGATGATACTGATTCTTCCAATCCATGAACATGGAAGATTTTTCCATTTTTTGGTATCCTCTTCTATTTCTTTCTTTAAGATTTTGTAATTCTCATCGTAGTGATCTTCGACATCCTTGCTTAAGTTTATTCCAAGGTATTTGATTGTTTTTGTAGCTATTGTGAATGGGATTGATCTTAGCAGTTCTTTCTCAGCCATGGCACTGCCTGTGTATACAAAGGCTGTTGTTTTTTGTGCATTGATTTTATATCCTGCTACTTTACCAAACTCTTCTATGTGTTTGAATAGTCTCAGTAGAGTTCTTTGGATCCCCTAAATAAAGAATCATATCACCTGCAAAGAGAGATAGTTTGACTTCTTCCTTCCCAATTTGTACCCCTTAAATTTTGTTTTTCTTGCCTTATGGCTCTGGCTAAAACTTCTAGTACTATATATTGAATAGCAATGGTGAGAGTGTGCATCCCTGTCTGGTACTAGAACTCAGTGAAAATGCCTCCAACTTTTCCCCATTCAATAGCATGCTGGCTGTGGGTTTTTCATAAATTGCTTTGATTGCATTGAGGAATGTTTCTTCTATACCCAATTTGCTTAGAGTTTTCATCATGAAAGAGTGTTGTATTTTATCAAATGCTTTCTCTGCCATTATATATTGAGATAATCATACGGTTTTTCTTCTGTAGTTTGTTAATGTGATGTATCACATTCATTGATTTGCGAATGTTGAACCATCCCTGCATACCAGGCATGTCTTTCAAATGAGTTTTAAAAAATTTTAAAGTCTATTCTGATATAACATCAAATTCTTTATGTCCCTACTTTGATAAACATAGGGTCTTTACTTTGTCCTTTCTTCTTTTTCACTGTGGAAAGACGTGAATGATTTCACTGATTCGAGACACTGCTTGCTGACGCATCACCACCTCCATCTAGAAGCTGACTTCCTCTTTGGGTAGTGACCACCTTGCTTTGTCTGCCATATGCCTGCTCTGTTTGCATTTGCTACTCTCAGACAGCATTACAGGCTGTGTGGGATGTCGCCAGGGGTTGGCAGCTCCCCTCTTGCAAGTGAGAAATGGCAAGTGTGTCTACTTGGAGCAGTTGTCAACATGGAGTATTAATGTAAACAAGTAACATTACATGAGCTGCACCTTTGCTGTTTTAGAGAATGACATCTAGCCTGCATTAGAACCTGTCCCATGTGCTGTCAGAGAAAATGTACTCCCCAGGCCCAATTATCCTGTGCCATAAAGTCCTGTGTTTGAGCTCCATCTCTCCTCATAGCCCAGATGCTAAGTGGAGTGCCTGGCACATAGATGATTTTCAAAAACTTGTACTGACAGCAGGCATTTGGCCTGGTGATTAAGATGCTGCTTGGGATACCTGCATCCTATATGAGCATGCCTGGGTTCAGTCCCCATCCTAGCTAACATGCATCCGGGGAGGTGGCAGATGTTGGCTCAAGTGGTTGTGTTCCTGCTACCTACACGGGAGAGTCATATTGAGGGCCTTGCTTCTGGCTTCAGTCTGGCCCAATCTGGGACGTTGTGGGTATCTGGAGTAAACCAGTGGAGGGGAGATTTCTATTTCTCAGCCTCTTAAATAAATAAAATTGAATTAAAAAATAGAGAAAATGCTGCTAAAATATGAATGATTACATAAATATGGGTGAGCAAACAAGGACTTCCTTTTTTTTTTTTTTTTGACAGGCAGAGTGGACAGTGAGAGAGAGAGACAGAGAGAAAGGTCTTCCTTTGCCATTGGTTCACCATCCAATGGCCACCGTGGCCGGCGTGCTGCAGCCAGCACACCGCGCTGATCCGAAGGCAGGAGCCAGGTTCTTTTCCTGATCTCCCATGGGGTGCAGGGCCCAAGGACTTGGGCCATCCTCCACTGCACTCCCAGGCCACAGCAGAGAGCTGGCCTGGAAGAGGGACAACCGGGACAGAATCCGGCACCCTGACTGGGACTATAACCCAGTGTGCCGGCGCCGCAAGGTGGAGGATTAGCCTATTGAACCGCGGTGCCGGCAGGACTTCCTATATTGTTTTCCCATCCCATTGGGTTCTGGTTCCATTATGGGCAGGTGTACGTGGCCTGATGTTTTCACATACACGACATCCAAACACGAGTGAAATGCGCCAGTTTGTATATCTGCCACACTCACATCAAGGAATTTCCTTTCTTCAATAATTAAAATGTGATGACTTTATCTTGCTAAGGTAAAGGTAATTTCAAATATTAGGGACTCTTTAAGTGGGTATTTCAGGGCTCAGGTTGATTGTTACCACATCCTAGGGCAATGTGAGGCCTAGTGTCCTCTTTTCCATTTCGCACCTGCTGGGTATTTACAATGTATCCAGGGAAGACTCACCCAGGAATCCAACCAGAAAGCTCACGAGAGATGCGGACTGTCGCGTGGGCAGAGCAGAGGGACTGTAGAGAGTCCGCAGGCTGAAGCCGTGTCTTTGCAGCATGGTGACCTGAGAGTCGCTTTTTGAGGCTGCACTGGCACATGATCCCAGACCTTCATTCTCAGGAGAGTATTTGGGCTGCTCGTAACATAAGCCAGGCTGGTACCTATCCCCAAATAAGGACGCACTGTTATTCTCCAAAAGACATGCTCATGATTCGATCCACATTTTGCTGAACCAGCAAGCCTTTCCAATTAGGTATCTGCAGCAACTCTGAATTTCCTCTGGTAGTCAACTTTCTTAGAAAGTTATAGATTACATGCAATAGGAAGTTAAATTTTTAACAGGGTGATTATTCAGAAATCATCTATGTTTAAAAGAAACACAATTCACAGAAATAGCAAGGAAACTCTCGTTAAATATCAGCTACAGAATAATGTCCTCTCTTCAGTTTGGCCTTCAGAGATCTGTCTGACTCTCTGGCCCCATCTCTGGAAACTTTCCTACACCGCTCTGCTAGTTCTTCCTACACCACTCTGCTAGTTCTTCCTCCACAAGCGCATCCAGCCATTCTGCGACTCTCCACTCCATGCACACTGTTTCCCTGTGTTCTTTTGTTCTCTTCCTCTATAGTCTGCGTCAACATTATCAGCCTGCTAGTTCTGCCCCAGTCTTCCCAATGTGCCTCTTCTCCTTTTCAGCAGCTTTTACTTACTTTTGAAAATATTTCCCCTCCATATAAGGAAATATGCTCACTGAGAATATACAAAAGTATATAGAAGAAGCTGAAAATCATCCAAAATAGCATTGCCCACAGCAGCACTTGGATGCAATTCATCTGGCTATATATGTGTATGCATGACTTTTCATGTAAATTTTATACATGAGTTCAGATGCTATATTGTACTACATTCTGAAACTCATGTATTTCTTCATATAATTAAATGCCATTTTATTTGCTAAAGAAGAGTCCACTGAATAAATGTTCCCTTATTTGTTTAATTGTCCTACTGAGATTTAGGTTAGCTCCATTTTTCCATTCAAAAGTCAACTGGCTTTTCCATGAAATCATCAATCTGTTGTGTGTGCCTCTCTGATAAAATATTTGGTGTAAAATCTTAGCAGTTGCATCACTGAGACAAAAAGTATAGTATTTTTCAGTGTCTTTATACAAGTACATGATGAGAAACTGCTTTTCATACAGATTGGGTCAAACTGTACTTTTTCTAGTGACCAATTTTCCTTCTTACATTTTATACTGATGTTTTATGGTCATAGCGTCTGGGCGAGACTGTGGCTCCTTGGAGGCAGAGGTGTTGAGTCCATTTCCTTTACTCCCTAGGTCCCACTTGGCACACACCCTTCTGAACCAGCTGCAACTCACCTGAGGATGAGCACACAGGCTGCGACCAGAGAGTAGGCCATTAGTGTGCCAATGGACATCATGTCCACAAGCGCCTTCAGGTCAAAAAGAAACGCCATCACAGCTGCAGGGAGAAATGAAAGGTGAAGCCAACAGCCTCTGATGGAATTCTGTGCGGTCAGTACTTTCACATCATGGACAAGCAACTGATGCTTTTCTCTTTAATACCAATGACAGTGAGTCAAACACAGGACAGAAAATATGTATCTCATGGTTCAGAAGATGTTCTTCAGGTTCTAAAAACTGGTAGTGAGACTTCAAAAGTCTTCCACTCCCTACAAAGTACAAAATACTTTGCACAAAATACTTTGATTACTTAAAAAATAGTTGGCCTGACAAAGAGTGAAAATATTAAATGAGAGACGAATGACCTTTGATGCTTTAGAACAATGCTGGATATACTGACTAGGTCCTTTTTTAAGACTATAAAAATTTAAACAGAAAACAGTTTCATTATAGATGTTACATAATCCTTCTTACTTTCCATGTGTATTTTAAAGTATATCATTCACAACTCAGTATTATTTAACAAAATTGAAATCTGTTTTTAATAGGCTAAATTCTACTCTGACTCAAATTACAAACTTCAGGTAGATTGAATAGAGATCAATTTATGGTCCTGTACTCCAAATCCTAATGATGTTCAGAGGCAAGACATATTTTATATAACTGACTAGTAAATTTATACCTGGCAATTGTTTTCTCCTAAAAGGACCATTTCAAGAAAAAAGTGATGACATTACCTCAAATTTAGCATGTAGTTACCCCTATTATAGGAAGCAAATAATACCACATTCCATTTGTGATGTTCCATTCCTCTTTGCAAACCTGGTATGTCTATGATCTCATTTCTTCAAGTCCATGGGACAGAGGCTATTAGTTAGGATTAGCCATATAAAGCAGTCAACATTTCACTATTTTTGACCCCCTAAACTCAGCAGTTTACATGGTTTGACCTAGCAGGATTATCTTCATCGTATTATAAACAGGTTAATGTGGGAAAGCTACAATTACTAGGTAAAGACAGATTCCTACCCAAAACACATCCCCATGCTCCTTCTACAATATCCCATTGTTACTTTAAGTGCACTGCCTGCCTTACTTTGAAAATCCTTCATTGCTAGTATACAAGTATGTATACATTAAGACTATTAAAATTTCAGTGTGTTTTTAAGATCACAGATAGCCAGGGACCGGTGCTGTGGTGCAGCGGGTTAAAGACCTGGCCTGAAGCGCTGGCATCCCATATGGGTGCCAGTTCTAGTCCCGGCTGCTCCTCTTCCGATCCAGCTCTCTGCTATGGCCTGGGAAAGCAGTAGAGGATGGCCCAAGTCCCTGGGCCCCTGCACCCACATGGGAGACCCGGAAGAAGTTCCTGGCTCCTGGCTTTGGATCGGCGCAGCTCCAGCAGTTGCGGCCATCTGGGGAGTGAATCAGCAGATGGAAGACCTCTCTCTTTGTCTCTACCTCTCTCTGTAACTCTGTCTTTCAAATAAATAAAATAAATCTTAAAAAAAAATCACAGATAGCCAAATATGGCAGCCAAAAGAGAAGAAAACAATTAACTATCCATAGATCCTCTCTGAGGTAAGTTTAAAAACAAGTCAAGTAAGGTGTGAAAGTACAAAACAATAAAAGCATTTCAGAACATTTTGTTTTTTTGACAGGCAGAGTGGACAGTGAGAGAGAAAGACAGAGAGAAAGGTCTTCCTTTGCCATTGGTTCACCATCCAATGGCCGCTGCGGCCGGCGTGCTGTGGCCAGCGCACCGCGCTGATCTGATGGCAGGAGCCAGGTACTTCTCCTGGTCTCCCATGGGGTGCAGGGCCCAAGCACTTGGACCATCCTCCACTGCACTCCCGGGCCACAGCAGAGAGCTGGCCTGGAAGAGGGGCAACCGGGACAAAATCCGGTGCCCCGACCGGGACTATAACCCGGTGTGTCGGCGCCGCAAGGCAGAGGATTAGCCTAGTGAGCCACGGCGCCAGCCAGCATTTCAGAACATTTTAAAAAAGGTTCAATTATAATTATCATCCTAAATGGGGAAGAATTTTAAAATACAGTATTTTGTTGAAGTTTTTAACTGGATAAAATAGCGAGTTTTTCCCTGCACTAAATAAAATATGTGATCTTTTGACAAGAAATCTTTATGAACTGTTTTCAATACCAGAATGTACTGTTTAATAATAAAATGAACTTTTTCTTCATTGTATTGCAGTAGAAATTTAAGCCTGATAAAATAAGTTACTTGCCCTGTAAGTGCCAGTACTACAAAATGTTTACAAAGTGAAACTGTTGAGGCCAATACTTTCTGACCTTGAAAAAACTCCGTTTCATACATAATGAAAGCATGACCATTCTTTAATTTCCAACAAAAGGAAGCCTCAACTAAATTAACATTTTGAGTTGCATTTCTATTGCCACAATTATTTATTGTTTTATACATAAACTTTGTGAAAGTCTATCTGTTGCTTTCTATTATAGTACTTTTAGAGTCATTCTCTCAACCTACAGAATCTCTGAAAACTTCTGCATGAAATAATCTAGGCCAAGGCATTTTATATTAAGACATGTCATAATGTAGGCAGTCTGACTTTCTGACCATAACTGAAGTCCTGACACCTCTGAAAGGAAAAACAGACTTCTAATGGGGTTGAGAGGATGTGTATGTTAGCACCTCTTAGTTCATCTGGAGGGCAATGATACAAGGGTCAAGGATAAATTATCTTTGACATTTATTATACTTAATTAAGAATAAGAAAGTTTTGCTTTTCAAAAGCCCAATGGTACTTCAGCAATATTCAACTTACATCACAAGTGAAAAATAACATATGTAATTATTACTTTTAAATGAACATTTCAGGAATGGCTTATTCATCAATTAAATTTTTATGTGTCCCAGAAGAATTTTTATTCATCAATTCATTCATCGATTGGAAATGTAATAGGTGATCTATAGTGCAATACCATTATAATCCTTTGCACATCTATTAAAGGCCCAAAAGGTTAAAATAACAAAATTGTTAAAAAAAAATCCCAAAGAGTCAATTAACAATGAATTTCAGAACATCACCACCACCACAATTTTCAGGTGTTAATCCCAATATTCATACACAAATTTATCAGTGAATTTGTTCTTAACTTACATGCACAGCATGCAGACCCTCTTAGTAAGTTCATGCATGTGCATAAAATATTCCAGACCAATGCTGAAGAAGCCTATGTGTGTAAAGCTTACCAGAAATGACCCCAGCAGTCAACGTGGCAGCAACTGGTGACTGCCTCTTACTCACTCTGGCAAGAAATCTAAACAGTAAACCATCCCGGGCCATGGCAAACAGAATTCGAGGTAAAGGAAACATAGAGCCCAGAAGACTAGAACAGAAAAATTCATAATCCATGTGAATAACCCAAAATATTATTCTAGAAAAGCATACACAGGTAAAGACTGGACACACCATAGTGCAGAACCAAATAATTCAAAATAGAAAACATTCACAAAATAGTGACTGAGCATCACGTAAAGCCGAACAGAAAACTACCTAAGTTTCTTTTTCTTTTTTTCTAGAGTCCTTGATGAGAAAAGATCCCCCTTTTCTTAATAAAATCAACTCACTCTCACCTGCCACTGCACCCGATGATAAAGTAGCAATGATTGGTGTCTTCGTTTTGGAATTGATTTGAGCTAGACATTTGAAAAGCAACCCATCCTCCGCCATAGCATAGATTACACGAGGCATTGGGAAAATGGATCCAAGAAGACTGAATAAAAAGCAAAGACATGCAGTAGAGCAGACAAATTCATGCAAGATTACATCCCAGAACTGAACTGTATAAAACTCAGCATAGTAGCTTTGAATACAAAGTCATATTATTTTAAAATGCACCAGGATTGGGCATTTACAAATATCTGTCACTTTGATCACTGTGCTATTCATTATTCTGTTGCAGATATCTACCAAGAAAAATTAGTATCACAGTATCAGAAGTAATTTGTGTTTACCCATGATTATTACTGAATTTCAACCAAATAATTAAGGTTTTGCAAAATACCACTAAGACAATTTCAGTGGCAATAACTGAGAAAAAAATTCCTAAATTGATAGGTAATTAAAGAGATTAAATAATTTTATTTCATAATGACAGTTAACTCATTTACTCAGTAACTATGAATTTTGTATTCACCATTATTTTTTCCCATATAACCCAATCTTTATCAAATTAGTAATAATTCCTGGCATGATAAAGACAATCAAAGAAAGATAAAAAAATTATAAATTTAGTACACAGAAGTAGCCATAATTAAAAAGTTAGTAACAGTGAAGTTTAACAGGACAATTTTTGCTTTTGAATTACTTGTACTGACTGCACTACTCCATACATGAATTAAATGTAAAAAGTGACCAAGAAAAAGAAAACAAGTACTTTATTTAAAAAAGCCATTTTATCTCTTCACACATCTGGGGTGAGCCTGGACAGACCTGAATCTCTGCCCTTCTCTGGACCATTGTGGTGTGGTACTTTCACACTCTACACTTTGGAACTATTTGAAGTGACTCAAAATAAATTTCAGCACTGGCCGATGATTGAGAAACAAAAAGGGTAATTTTTAATTGCCACTTAATATTATAAGGGATTTGAAGGCAAAACAAAGCTAGCTGGAATTAATTTTAAAATTTAGCTTTCTAATTTCAAACGTTTAGACAATTATTTTCACTTTAAAAATTAGAGATCACATAAAAAGATTAATTTTCACTTTATGAGAACAGTCAACATTTAGTATGATACAAAAGTAGAATAAAATGTATTTCTTATGATCTTATGTGAATTTGAAATATGAGTAGCTCAGAAAATCTGAGAAACAAGCATAATTATTAAAACAAGCAGCTACTGAAGATCTAGACCCTTGAACATCAACTACCTTTTTCTCTTCACATACATATTTTAAGAATTTCCACCATTAACTTGAGAATGATCATTGCTGTTTCTAGACCAAGTCACTCAGCTTGGTGCTAAGAGGGAACTGTCAGTGTTCCACAATTAAAAGCACATGGTATTTAAACGGGACAGTGCACATAGCTGCTTCTCACACAGACTCATAGTCACTTAAAAACAGAGCAAGAAATGTTGATCTGCGTCCATAATCTCAGGTTGTCTATAGTGCTTAAAGAAACACCAAAATCAGCAGAGAAGCATACTAGAAGAAGCATCTTGGGTTTTATAAAACCTCCATATATGTGTACGTGTGACGTACATATGTTTGGGGTATCTGTGTGTGTGTGTGTGTGTATGTATGTCTGTGTGTACAAGTGCTATAAGCATTCCTACTGAAGCCTGGCCCATCACCATCTTGGAAAAATGGTCTCTGAATGTGGGGGAGGGGCAGTTCTCCATGATTTAGGATATGTATATGTAATCCTGGGCAAATTATTCAGTGAACACATAGTTGCATAATATGTTCCTCAAGATTGGATATTTTGAAAGCACACAAAAGCAACTTTTTAGACAGCGACCAAACTGAGAAGGACCTCAAACAGCCGCTGCTGCAAAGGCCAAGCCATGTACCTTGTTGACAACGCACAGAGGGAGCCCGCAGCAACGATGTATTTGGCAGGGCCCCATCCAACATACTCAAATGCCACAGGAAGGGGGCTTTTTTCATCCAGGAGGTAGTATGGCATCATGAGGGTCAAGGCTGCAGAGACCCCAAAATAGGCCATAAAACAGACAAGCAGAGAAGTCACAATTCCAATGGGAATAGCTTTCTGAGGATTCCGCACTTCCTCACCTAGGGAAATATAAATAAACAATGTGCATGTTTAGTAAGACATTCACAGACAAAGAACTTAATTTGCATCAGATTCTTCCTTTCTTCCACTGTAAATCTACTCTGGTTTTGTCCCTTCTGTTTTCTTCTCTTGATCAACCATTTTATGAGAAATTTCTTCTCTTCTTAAAGGTGCTTTGCCATTACATAAAAATTCAATTCACAGAGGGAGAAGAGAAGCTATGTGAGGCATCTCCCTGCTTCCAGAAGAAGAAAACCAATCAGACAAAAATGACAGAACATCACTATCAAGTGTTTTGGGAAAACAATTCATCCACAGAGGCTAAATCTCTATTAAGGTTCTCTATAGACCCTTAAATAGGCTTCAGGTAAGTTTATTTCATCTATGTATAAGAAACTCTAGCTTCAATTAAAAAAAAGTATGTTTTTTATTCTAATAAAATTTGGCATTTAAAGTCAATTAGAGAGCCGGCGCCGTGGCTCAATAGGCTAATCCTCCACCTTGCGGCGCCGGCACACCGGGTTCTAGTCCCGGTCAGGGCGCCGGATTCTGTCCCGGTTGCCCCTCTTCCAGGCCAGCTCTCTGCTATGGCCAGGGAGTGCAGTGGAGGATGGCCCAGGTGCTTGGGCCCTGCACCCCATGGGAGACCAGGAAAAGCACCTGGATCCTGGCTCCTGCCATCGGATCAGCGCGGTGCGCCGGCTGCAGCGGCGGCCATTGGAGGGTGATCCAACGGCAAAGGAAGACCTTTCTCTCTGTCTCTCTCTCTCACTGTCCACTCTGCCTGTCAAAAAAAAAAAAAAAAAAAAAAATAAAGTCAATTAGAGGGCCTTACAAGGACAGGAACACAGAGGAAGCACTCATTTTGGCATAACTGTTTTCCGTGTGGCATAATGAGGAAAGAACTATCACAATATATTTTGTTTAATGAAAGTAGAGACAACTTTGAAGATGATCATCAGTTATTACATATTTTGATGGTACTTCCAGATAGAAGGCCACAAGAGGTACTTATGACTAACACTAAGTATTCAGCAGCTTGCAAAGTATTGTTCATATGTCGTATTTTAGGTCATCTTCATCATATCTGACAGCTAAGTACTGCTCTCTCAGTTTTACTGATATAGAAATCAAGGCTGAGGGAGTTTCATTAAGGTTCCTTTTGCTCATATACAGCAGGTGTCACAACTGGTTCTGGAACAAATGATCTTCTTACCCTAAATCCCTCTCCTATTCACTGGACTCCCTACTGCAATACAAGACTACTCATACGGTGGGAGGAACACCTTTTTCCACATCCTTGCGTCAAGATACTGCTCTTACCAGTTGTTGCGATGCAATCAAATCCCACAAAGGCATAAAAGCAAGTTGCAGCACCAGCCAAAGTTCCTGCAAAGCCGTAAGGCATAAAGCCACCAGCCCCATAGAGACTTGTGCCATTTTCAGAAGGAGGCTCTCTAAGGAAGAGAACAAATGCATTGGAAAGTCATTTTCATGGGAAACTGTTCCTTCTGGGGACTTATGTAGAATCCCATCCTTGGAAGGCTGCTGTTTTCATCAGCTCATTGGAGGTGATGTTCATAAAACTAAAGCAAAAACCTTTTTCTCTCATTCTGTCCTACAGACTGGTGGAGCCCCTGAAAATGTCACCTTGCACCCACAGCACTTGCAGAAGGGCCAGCCCCACACTGGGAGGAACCCCAGTCAGGCAAGATTTCAAAAACAGAGACTAAAGTAGGCCATGCTTTGAGATAATGACAGGAAACTTTCTCTTCCTGTGGATGTTTTTCCCTATAACAATATATGGATTCCAAAGCACAAAGTAAGGCATGGTGTAAGTCCTTCCAATTCACCATGGAGACATTTGAGAAAGTAAAGCCAAACTCTCTAGGCTTCATGAATATTACAGAAGTTGAATATTTTATGTTAAAAATGGTATAAAAAGTCAGGGGATGCCAACTTTCTCCCTCATCAGAATGAGTATAAATAATATAAAGAAAAACATTTAGATGTAATTCAGTCTATGTAATGGAAACTTCCTGTAATCGTAGTTCTGCTTATGCAACTAACAACATTCTCCAAAAAACAAGGCCTGGAAATTACTACAAGGCTGAAAGAATGCAATGAACTGAACGGTGGCCCCACAGGATGAACATAAGGATATATGACTTCAGAATGCTCATCACTTGGAGGTGGTGAATCACTGGGGAACAGAGGAAGTTCTTTCCAATGAACAGTTAGGATCCAGCCCCTGCTCTTTCCCCAAAACTGGGAGCAGAGCTTGAGGTTGGGAACAGCAGCCGTGGCCTCACATAGCTGCTCAACTGTGAGTACAGTTTGGGGGAGCCAGGAATGAAGTCTTGCAATACAGCAGCCCCCTCAGACAGGGCTCGGGAGCAGAAAGTTTGACAACTATTGTTCAGAGGAAAGCTGTCACCCATAACCTCTTTAAAATGTAACATTATAAAAAAGAAGGGAAAAAACGCAATCTTTAAAAAAATTTTAATTCTAATTTGTTTGAAAGTCTGAAAGAGAGAGAGAAATAAAGAAACAGATCTTCAATCCACCGGTCTACTCCACAGATGCCTGCAACAGCTGAGCTAACCTGACCTAATGTCAGGCTAAGGGCAGGAGTCTGGAACTCAATCTGGGTCTCCACCTGCGTGTCAGGGGCCCAAGGACTTGAAGCATCTCCGGCTGCTTCCCAGGGTGTGCATTAGCAAGAAGCTGGATTTGAGGCACAGGAGCCTGGACGTGAACCCAGCACTTGAACATGGCATGCAAGTGTCCCAAGAGGCAGCTTAACTGCTGTGCCAAATGCCCACCCACTTTAAAAATGTTATTTATTTATTTCCATTTATTTGAAAGGCAGGGAGATAGAAAGAGACACAGAGACAGCCAAGTATTATACCTGGCACTTGCTGATACATTTTTGAGAAACTCTTCGCTAATCCTCCAGTTAGCCACACTTCCTTTCACAAAGCCAGCAACCATCACAAAGAGAAGGACCAGGATGTTAACGGCTGTGAAGAATTTGTTCACCCAAGCAGATTCCTTTACTCCAAAAGATAAAAGTCCTATAGGAAAAAAGAAAGCATTTCAGTGTTTACCTAAAATTTTAGTAAAGGCCATGACATTTTGTGGCAAATATAAGATCTGTGGTATCATTTCACCATCATTTCTATATAAGATGACCTCAAAAAGTCTATGAAAAATAAAAGCACTATGAAAAAGCTATTCATGGATTTCAACTTTTTTGGTGCTAAAACATCTTTTAATTTCATTTTTCATGACCTTTTAAAGTCCTGTTGTATTTAACTCCCATTTACCCATTTCCATTGCTAGTTTGTACCCATCAGTCATCTGACTGTGAAACAAGGGCTGCTGCACAGAACCAGGTCAACCTCAGATGGCAGTCTATGCCTTCTGCTAAGAAACATATACATCTGGTAACTTTGGCTATTATTACCAATGGTAGAGAGATGTAAAGTAACACTTAATTTTAATGAAAGGCTGTTCTAAAAAAGCCTTTCAAAGCTTTCAAGGTTATTGGTTATAAACTTGTTTTGAAAGATTTATTCATTTATTATTTGAAAGTCAAGTTAAACAGAGAGAGAAGGAGAGGCAGAGAGAGAAAGAAAGAGAGGTCTTCCATCCACTGGTTCACTCCCCAGTTGGCTGCACCAGCCGGAGCTGTGCCAATCTGAAGCCAGGAGCCAGGAGCTTCTTCTGGGTCTCCCACGTGGGTGCAGAGGCTCAAGCACCTGGGCCATCCTCTATTGCTTTCCCAGGCCACAGAGAGAGCTGGATCAGAAGTGGAGCAGCCGGGACTAGAACCTGTGCCCATATGGGATGCTGGCACTGCAGGCAGCGGCTTTGCCTGCTATGCCACAGAGCAGGCCCCTGGGTATAAAGTTTTAAAAAGTAAAAGCTCAGTCATTATCTCTGCCAGGTAATTACTGGATATACATGAATAGGAAAGCATTATTCAATGTTCATGCTGACAAGCACTTTGTTAAACTGATTCTCATTTTACTATATTTTTACATTCTGATTATTAAATCAATTTTTCTACTAAAGTAATTTGAGGATACAGAAAAGCATGAAGACAATAAAGATGAACTGTGGGTTTCCCCCCAGAATTTCTCACACACACACACTCACACACAAACAATACATATACATATACACACACAATTTCCACATAACTTTATTAATAGCTGCATAGTCTTCTAATCCATTGAGGTACCATACTTTAATGCCTTCTTTTATAGGCACTGATATCACTATTGGCTTTTTATAATCATAAGCAGTACTGACATAATCATCCTTTAATACATACTATAGGGCTACTATAATTAAAACAGCCTGGGACTGGCACAAAAATAGACATGTAGACCAATGGAATAGAATAGAAACCTCAGAAATTAATCTACACATCTACACCAACTAATTTTTGACAAACAAGATAAAATCAATCCCGGAGAAAGAATTGTCTCTTCAACAAATGATGCTAGGAAAAATTGGATCTATGCATGCAGAAGCATGAAAGAAGAACCCTACCTTACACCTTACACAAATATCAACTGAAAATGTATCAAGAATCTAAATCTATGACCTGATATCATCAAATCACTAGAAAAGAACATTGGGGAAACTCTGCAAGATACTGGCATAGACAAAAACTTCTTGAAAAAGACCCTAGAAGCACAGGCAATCAAAGCCAAAACAGACAAATGTGATTACATCAAGCTAAGAAGCTTCTTCACTGCAAAGAAAACACTCAACAAAATGAGGCAGCAACCACAGAATTGGAGAAAACATCTGCAAACTATGCAACTGATAATGGATTAATATCCAGAATCTAATATGTTCTCCCTGATCGGCGACAACTAACTGAGCAGCAAAGGGGAGACCTGTTGAAGTGAAATGGACACTATGAGAAACAGTGACTTGATCAGCCCTTGTCCTGAGTGTTGATGTACACAGTTTAATACTTTATCCCTTTTAGTATTTTCTCTTTGTTTTGTTCTAGTACTATTGGTTGAACTCTGTGATTAACACACAATTATTCTTAGGTGTTTAAATTTTAACTGAAAAATGATCCCTGTTAAATGTAAGAGTGGGAATAAGAGAGGGAGGAGATGTACAATTTGGGACATGCTCAATCGGACTTGCCCCAAATGGTGGAGTTAGAATCATGCCAGGGGATCCCAATACAACCCCATCAAGGTGGCATGTACCAATGCCATCTCACTAGTCAAAGTGATCAATTTCAGTTCACAATTGATCACACTGATAGGTCTAAGAGTCAAAGGGATCACACAAACAAGTCTAGTGTCTGCTAATACTAGCTGATAGAATCAAAAAGGGAGAGAACGATGCATCATGGGAAGCGGGATACACAGTAGACTCATAGAATGGCAGATGTCCTAAACAGCACTCTGGCCTCAGAATCAGCCCTTAAGGCATTCAGATATGGCTGAAGAGCCCATGAGAGTATTTCAGGCATGGAAAGCCAAGATACCCTGGGGGAAAAAAAAAAAGAAGACCTAAATGGAATATCTCTGCGAGAGTGAGATCCCAGTGAAAAGAATGGGGCCATCAAAGAAGGAGTTACCTTTCTCTGAAGGGAGGAGAGAACTTCCACTTTGACTATGACCCTGTCAGAATAAGATCGAAGTCGCAAACTCAAAAGGCTTCCATAGCCTTGGCAACTCATGACTAGAGCCTAGGGAGATTACTGACGCCATAAACAAGAGTGTCAAATTGTTAAGTCAACAACAGGAGTCACTGTGTACCTATTTCTCATGTGGGATCTGTCCTTAGCGTGTTGTCCAATGTGAAGTAATGCTATAACTAGTACTGAAACAGTATTTTACACTTTGTGTTTCTGTGTGGGTGCAAACTGTTGAAATCTTTACTTAATATATACTGAATTGATCTTCTGTATATAAAGATAATTGAAAATGAATCTTGATGTGAATGGAATGGGAGAGGGAGCGGGAGATGGGAGGGGTGTGAGTGGGAGGGAAATTATGGGGGGGGGGAAGCCATTGTAATCCATTAACTGTACTTTGAAAATTTATATTTACTAAATAAAAAATTAAAAAAAATCCAGAATCTATAAAGAGCTCAAGAAATTCAAAAACAACCAACCATACAATTCAATTAGGAAATGGGCTAAGGATACGAACAGGCATTTCTCAGAAGCTGAAATACAAATGGCCCACAGACATGTGAAAAGATGCTCAAGATCACTAGACATCAGAGAAATGCACACAAACATCACAGTGAGGTTTCACCTCATTCCAGTTAGAATGGCTATCATCCAAAAATAAAAAAACACAACAAATGCTGGCGAGCATGTGGGCACAAAGGTACCCTAATCCACTGTTGGTGGCAATGTAAACTAGTAAAACCGTTGTGGAAGACAGATGAAGATTACTCAGAAATCTCAAAATAGGTCTACCATATGACCCAGCCATGCCACTACTAGTAATTTACCCAAACAAAATAAAATCAGCATATGAAAGAGTTATCTGTACCCCCATGCTTACTGCAGCTCAATTCACAATAACTAAAATACAGAATCAACCCAGATGTCCATCAGTTGATGTCTGGAGAAAGAAAAATGTGGTATATATAGACCCTGGTATACTACTCAGTTGTAAAAAAAAAAAAAAATGAAATCCTATCTTCTGCAACAAAATGAATGCAACTGGAAACCATTACATTCAATGAAATAAGCCAGTCCTCAAAAGATAAATATCATACATTTCCCCTGATTTGTGGTAACTAACATACAGAGTACAAAAAATATAACGCATATGAGAGAAATCAACATTTTGAGATCTTTTTTTAAAGATTTATTTATTTGAGAGGCAGAGTTATAGACAGAGAGGGAGAGACAGCAAAAGGTCTTCCATCTGCTGATTCAATCCTCAAATGGCTGCAATGGCTGGAGCTGAGCCAACCTGAGGCCAAGAGCCAGGAGCTTCTTCCAGGTCTCCCACATGGGTGCAGGGATCCAAACTCTTGGGCCATCTTCTGCTGCTTTCCCAGGCCACAGCAGAGAGCTGGATTGGAAGAGGAACAGCTGGGTCTAGAATCAGCTCCCATATGGGATGCCGGCACTACAGGTGGAGGATTAATCTACTGTGCCACAGCACTGGCCCCCTCCATTGTATTTTTTAAATTTGTTATTTGTTGCTGGGTCATAGGGTTCAGCGCCAGCCAAATAAAGTATCTTAAAAAACAGCTTTCCATACCTTTTAATTATTTAAAACATTTCAGTATATACATTTGTATTTACTTGGCAGAGACAGAGATCTTCCATCTGCTGGTTTGCTCCTCAAATGCCTGTGACAGCTGGTTAGATGTAGAATGACTGATACATACTCAGAGAATAACAAAGCCTCCAGTGTTTTCCCAACATGCCACATGTGCTCTCTTGCCCAAGGTCTCATTTTCTAATAACAGACTGGAGACCAATGAACATCTCATCTAAATATTGCATAAGCTTCTGTTATACCTTTAATAACTCAAGAATTTCCAGTGGTAAGAAATTTGCAGTACAGGGTTTTGACCTTCTTGTTACCATCTTTGAAGATCAAAGTAGCAACTCAGCCTATGGAGAGATATCATAGTCAAAGAACACAGGACACCTGACGTAGGCAAGTTCTTGGTCTTGCCACGGAATTTAAGTTATAACTGTCATAGTTGCATGCTTCACATCATTTAGAGATTAAAGTGGGATATTTTAAGTTTGCTGAAAACATCCCTAAATAAAACATGATGCAACTAATTTAATGTTAGCTAGGCTGTTTAGAAACTTAAACAGAAAATCTATCATTCATTGAAAAATAATTGGTGTGAATTTTCTTGATATTGGGAAGCAAAAATATTTTAGGCCTATAAATTTTGTTGATGACCCTATCCCTATTTCTATAAAACATACTTAATTAGTGACTTTTTTAAGGGTAAAGCTATTTTTATATGATGGAATTCTTCAGATAAACATTTCATAATAGAAAGCTACCTCTGTCACATTGTTGTAAGCAAGGGAGAAAACAGAGATAAGGTGAGATGGGAAAGGGAAGGGACGGTTACCTGGGGTAAGTCAAGTAGAAAGTGGTAACAAACCTTTGAGGGTATTGCCAAATGCTCATGAAAAACCTTAATTAGAGGGTAAGTTTATTTTGAATTTTGAAATTCATGAATAGTTTTTTTCATAATACACATTTTTATGAACTGTTTGAAGATCTCTCATACACATTTTTTTTTTAAGATCTAATTTATCTAAAAGGCAGTTACAGAGAGAGACAGAGAGAGACAGAGAGAGAAAGAAAGAGAGAGAGAGAGAGGGAGGGAGGGAGAGAGAAAGAGAGAGATCTTCCACCCACTGGTTCACTCCCCTAATGGCCCCAACAGTCAGGGCTGGGCAACACTGAAGCCAGGAGCCATGAGCTTCATCCAGGTCTCCTATGTGGATTCTGGGGCCCAAGCACTTGGGCCATCTTTTACTGCTTTCCCAGGCACATTTGTAGGGAACTGCATTGGAAGTAGAGCAGCCGGTACTCAAACTGGCACCCAAATGTAATGCCAGCATTGGAGGTGGCTTAACCCTCTAATAAGTCACAGTGCAGGCTCCCATGTGGGTTTCATTTTTTTTGTTTTGCATCAACTTCTCATTTAATTCTATTTTTCACAGTCTTTTTGGAGTGATTATAGATTTTATTCTCAGCCAATCTTTGATGGGCTTAAGGAGGACTGTACATAGGAATATTAATCAAGCTAGAACAGCTTCAAATAATGAAAGCAAATATTAGGGAACATCAGAGATTACCTATGCCTACAAAAAAAAAAAGCTGCCATCTTAGCGCTTGCTATCTACTAAGCTCTTAGAACGTTGTTTGCAATATCACTGACAGCTCAATTTCATGGATGAGCAAGGAAATCATTCAGTGTTCCAAAGGTAGTAAGTGGCATCATAGGGTAATAACTTGTTTCTCTCTTATTCCTGTGCCTTCCTAAATCACTAACCATTACTGAAAATTCTAGTTTCAAGTGTGCTTGTCTCCTTCAAAGACAATCAGTAATTGGAAAGCTTTCTTTTCAAACAGATGTCTATATTATATTGATGAAAGCACGACAGAAGAACAGAATTCATTCCAGAAATAGTATCCTTAGTTTTATTTACAAGATAAACCTGCACCAATAAATTACACATTCCTCCTTATTGGAACTTCATTGCCATTCCTGCAAATCTCTAAATACAAAATTATGAAATTGATGAAAAATTATGAAATGTCTCATTCTGTTATTTAGTGCATGCCAGGTACCATTTGTTCAGAAGTAAAGTTTCTACCATTCCACACAATCTAGGTTTATTTTTGAAACACGCCTATCATATAAGTGTGAGTAGAGCTGGGGAGGTTAAGAACTCAGGTCTCTAATGTAGTAGGGACCTATTTTCCTGGGACAATTAGTCTGGCTTATCATGGGGAGAAGCATAATTTGTTTTCTTACCTGCTAGAAGTAATATAAGGCACACAGCAAAAAAGTCTGGATACTCTGCAAGACCGGTATAATTCATTTTGAAGTATGTTCGGAAAAACTGTCCAATCTGTTTGTTAAGAAGTTCATCAAAGGTGCCACTCCAGGCTCTTGCAACACTTGAGGTACCTTCCCAAGACACATAACATTCAGAAAACACAAGATCACTGGCAGACAACTAACAGAACATCATTTGCCACTCTAGCAGGTACATGGGTTAGTTTCCATAGGTTGAAAATTTTAATGACATATAGAATTGTCTTAGTAATTTCTCAATTATATAACCATAATCAAATGCTCAAGTCTAAGGTGTGGAATCTTTGTTTGCAATAAAGAACTATTAACTTAAAGCAAACAGATTCTCAAGCCCACTAAAAGATACCAAAATGAAGCAGAAGCACAGAACTCTGCAGTTTCAGGAGAAGACATTCAGAGATGAGTAGAATGAAGCGGCCGGATCACTCAGCAGCTAATGAATGCAGATCTGCCACCGAGCACCAAGGCCTCTCACTCAGGGTGCCACTCTACAGAACTGAGGTTCATTTCTGAAACATACCGATCACATAGGATAAGATGAGATTCCAGCCAGTGATGAAGGCCCACAGCTCTCCAACAGTAACGTAAGTGTACAAATACGCAGACCCTGTCTTGGGAACTCGGGCCCCAAACTCAGCATAGCAAAGGCCGGCCATCACGGATGCCAGGGCAGCAATGAGGAAGGAAACAACGATGCTGGGGCCGGAGTCTGCTTTGGCGACTTCCCCTGCAAGGACATACACCCCGGCACCAAGAGTGCTTCCAACCCCCAGGGCGATGAGGTCCATGGTGGATAGACAGCGGCACAGCTTGGACTCTTCTAGACTGTCCAGAGTCACGATTTTCCTCCGGATCAGACACCGGGCAAAAGTCAGCGCTGCTCTGCAGGGAATCATTCTGAAGAGGACAACCTGAGAGAGAGAAAGAGAGAGAGAGAGAGAGAGAAGGGAGGAGGTTTTACGTGGATCTGGACCCATCCTGCCTCCAGGTAGTGATGCAGCTCCCAGGCCTAAGGACAAAATACTTTTTTTTTTCTTTTCAACTTGTGAACAGAGGTGTGGTGCAGAGCAGTCCCGGGAGGGCTGAGTAAGCTCAACCTTGCTTATACATTCCCTTTTACAGAGGGCTGCAGACAGTGGCCCATTTGGGATGCAAAGGAATAGCAGTTCTGGGCAATTAAAAAGATTTGCCATTTTTATTCACTTAATACAAGTTTTAAAGAGAAGTTCACAGAAATGTATTCCAAGATATGGCTGCACTTGTTAGTTAAGTTCTCGCAAAATGGTGAATTGTTTGGTCTTCTATTTTCTGTCTTTTCTTCCTTCACTGAACTCGGATTCTTCAGGACCTAATAGAGCCAGGGGTCATGGTATGAATATATATAGAATGGTGTTACACCAATGTGGTTTCTAGTTTATGGGACTTATTACAGTCTAGCACAGGACAAAAGCAGGTAAAAAAACATGATCATTGTGCTTCTTACATTATTCTTACCTTATCAAATGTACATGAGCTTCTCCATTTTCATTCCCAAGGAAAGAGCAGATGTGAACTTTTTAGAATTAAAAAAAAATTCTCGCAGCCAGCTCTGTGGCATAGAGCTGCCATTTGCAACAACAGCATCCCAAATGGTGTGAGCTCAAAGTCCCAGCTGCTCCACTTCTGATCCAGCTCCCTACAATGCATCTGGGAAAGCAGCAGCAGATGGTCCAAGTACTTGGGCTTCTGCCACTCATGTGGGCCACCTGACTGAAGCTCCTGGCTTTGGCCTAGCTCAGCCTAGCTCAGCCCTAGAGGTTGCTGGGTAATGAACCAGTGGATGGAAGATCAATCTCTCTGCTTCTCCGTCTCTCTGTAACTCTTTCAAATAAATAAATAAATAAACCTCCCAACACGTGCTTAGATTTTTCTAACAAAAACTTTTTTTTGTTTAAAGATTTATTTATTTGAAAGTCACAGTTACACAGAGAGAAGAGCAGCAGAGAAAGAGAGAGGTCTTCCATTCGATGGTTCACTCCCCAGATGGCCACAATTGCCGGAGCTGCGCCGATCTGAGGCCAGGAGCCAGGAGCTTCCGCCGGATCTCCCACGCGGGTGCAGGGGCCCAAGGACCTGGGCCATCCCCCACTGCTTTCCCAGGCCATAGCAGAGAGCTGGATTGGAAGAGGAGCAGCCGGATCTCAAACTGGCGCCCATAGGGGATGCCAGTGCCTCAGGCCAGAGTGTCAACCCGCTGCGCCACAGTGCCAGTCCCTCTAACTAAAACTTCTATCAACTATTTTAAATATGAATTTGTACTAAAACGCACATATTTATTACATTTATTTGATTTTTATACATGAATAAACCGAAGTCCATATCAAGTATCATACATATATATTTTAACTGGCATGAATAAAGAAGACAAAAAAAATCTCATCTCTCACATGTTGGCTAATTCTAATACTGAAAAGAAAAACAGGTTATAAAATAACGCATGGATACATACACACACATTACAGTAAAAAGGTCTCAAGTCAAATAAGCCAAAATATTAACTAGTTATATTTAAGTGGTGGGTTAATTTTTACTTCTAAGGAGTTCATATATTATATTGTCAATATCTATTTTTAATTCCAATGAACATGTACAACTTAAATAAAAAAATGAAAAAGTTCCACATGACTTTAATAAGTCATTTAAGCAAGCAGACTAGGACATAACTGAAGAACAGGGCTGTAACAGTGTATGCTGTTATCAGTCAATAAAAACTACAAGTATTTAACTTTCAGAAGTGCAGGGCAGGTGTTTGGCCCAGTATATAAAGCCTCCAGCTAGGATGCCTGTGTCCCACATTGGAATGCCTGGTTCAAGTTCCTGACTCCAGCTTCCTGTTAATGCAGACCCTGGGAGGCAGTGGTAATGGTTCAAGTAATTGGGTTCCTGCTGCCCATGTGGTAAACTTGGACTGAATTCTCAGCCCCTGGCTTCATGTGCCACATCCACCACCCACATGAAACCAAAAAACAAACAAAACACCCCCAAAACCAAAAAGCCATGTTGCAGACATTTGGGGAGTGAGCCAGTGGATAGGGGCTCTATCCCTCAAGTAAATAAATAAAAATTAAAGAAAAACATTAAAAGTTAGCCTTGCTTTTGCTTCATGCATTGCACTTCCACTGTACAATTGTCTACAAACATTGAGTATTATTCCCTTCATTTTCTTCACTGCCAATAACCTAAACTTATGAGCTTGACATTTTCTGTGAAAAACAGATATTTTATAAATAAGGTTTTAACCTTACTCTAATATTGTCATTGAGTTTATTCAAAAATATAAGACTAATTTTCTACACTTAGTCTAAAAGACTTCTCATTTAAGAGACATTACTGGGATGGGACTAATATTTATAAACTAATTCATATTCAGTTTCATATTAAACCCAGTAGACTAAAACTAACTCATTGACTGAACACCATTCACACATAAATATAACTGCAAGTTCTCAATATTGAAAGCAGCTAATTCAAACATAAGTAAGAATTTTTAAAAAATGAAAAGGAGTGGAAGCGCTGCGGCTTAATAGGCTAATCCTCAGCCTTGCGGTGCTGGCACACCGGGTTCTAGTCCCGGTCGGGGCGCCGGATTCTGTCCCGGTTGCCCCTCTTCCAGGCCAGCTCTCTGCTGTGGCCTGGGAGTGCAGTGGAGAATGGCCCAAGTGCTTGGGCTCTGCACCCCATGGGAGACCAGGAGAAGCCCCTGGTTCCTGCCTTCGGATCAGCACGGTGCGCTGGCTGTGGCGGCCATTGGAGGGTGAACCAACGGAAAAGGAAGACCTCTCTCTCTGTCTCTCTCACTGTCCACTCTGTCAAAATAAATAAATAAATAAATAAAATGAAAAGGAGTGGAAATCTCCCTGATGGTAAAAAAAAAGTTTTACCCATTTTCAGCGTCTTCCACACTGCCTGTCAGAAGGCCAAAGCATGATGCAAAGATCACAGATGATAGCCCCAATTTTGCTAATACTGCAATCAGGTTCCCCAAGTTAAAACTCATCAACACTCCATAAATCAAAAGTGTATCACTTTCTACCAAGAGCTAACCCTGAAACAGCTATTTCTCTACCTAGAAGATAAAGTAGTGAAATGTTCTGCTTATAAAAAAATCAACAAGTGAAATGTAGAAGTTATATAAAAGCTAACTGTGGAGCAAATGTTCAATCCAGTAGCTGTAATGCCAGGATTCTGGCATCACATTTCAGAGTATCTGGGTTTGAGTCCTAGCTCTGCTTCCTAATGCAGCTTCCTGCTCATGTGCAGTACACACCCTGGGAGGCAATAGTGATAGCTCAAAGTAGTTGGGTCCCTGACACATGGGAGATCCAGACTGAATTCCTGGCCTCTGACTTGGCCCCAGCTAGGGGCTGTTCTGGTCATTTGGGGGAATAGATCAGTGGATGGAAGGTTTCGGTCTGCTTGCCTTTCAAATAAATAAAAATTTAAAAATCAATTGAGGGGGGAGGGCGGGGCGGAAGAGGGTATTTACTAAAGGCTAAACTTCATAAACGTAAGCATTTTTATACAAACAGACATGTACAAAGATCAAGAATTAGGGACCATTGCCAACTAAAAAGTACTCAGAGATGAAGACCCACTGCATGTCACTCATGGTTTAAAATCAAGTGGAAACGGGACATTGTGTTCCACTTTAGGAACACACCTGGAAGACAAAATTAGGTGCCCTTGTCATTTAGCTAAAACACTCCCGGATGGAGTATTTGATTAGCTCAATTTGTGTGAATAAAGGACACAAATGCTACAATCACACATATTTAAGGAGAAAAGGTCTGGAAGGAAGCAAAGAAATCAAGAGATGGAGGCGGTTATAGCATTGTGGCTGAATTTTCATTTCTGAAATCCTTTTTTCTGGAGCTATGGTCACAATGTTGTTTATGAAAATTTTAAAGAAAAAGTAGCATACAAATGAAAGCAAATGAGCATGACAGTTAAGTAACCCAAAAAGAATAAATTAGTGATGGTCATCTTTTCAACATAAAATTGAAGTGAATTCAGTCCAGATTACATAGGAAGTAGAACTATTCTTACAGGATCACGCTTATAGAAATATATAGCTTTGATCTGGTAAAATCTGGTTTGTGTTGCTTGTTTGCTACTAAGTATTTTATGTGCAGTTAGTTTCTCTGTTATTCTGGGGAAATAAGACAAAAATTTCATTTGTCCATCATGCTTTAATTTATTTTTTGAAAAAAACAATTTAACTTATTTTACTTATTTGAGAGACAGACAGACAGACAGACAGATATCTCCCACCTGCTGGTTCATTCCCTGATACCCACAATAGCAGGGTCTGGGCTGCACCATAGCTGAGAATCGGTAACTCAGTCTGGGTGGCAGAGATGCAACTACTTGAGCCATCACCTACTGCTTCCCAGAGTCTGCAACAGCAGGAAGCTGGATTTGAAGTGCAGCTTGGACTTGAACCTGGTCACTCCATTAAGGGCTGTGGGTTTCCCAGGCAGCATCTTAATGGCTAGGGCAAATCCCTGCCCCATTTGATTTTGAGTAACAGCACTGCATGCGTCAGAAACTTCTCAGAACTGACAGTTACTCAACAGCCTTTGTAAACAATCTCAACTACGCATAGCCTGGTAAAATACCGATTGCAAAAGCTGTGTCATGGAACTAATTTTGTAGAAATATAATGGGATGGGAGAAAAGGAATGTGAAAACACACAGGGTCAATTTAATGAGTAATTATTAAACATTTATTGAGTCCCTTGAATCAGTGTTTAGTAAAGAAATAATCTTGTGCTTTTAGAAAATGTTTTTGTGTCGGCCGGTGCCACAGCTCACTAGGCTAATCCTCTGCCTGCGGCGCTGGCACCCCGGGTTCTAGTCCCTGTTGGGGTGC